GTGTCCACACTGCGACTGGACAGCTGCGTTTTGAAATGTATGCGTTTTCGAGAGCGTTTTCAAAACGCTGCATTTTTCCTTGAGGAAAGCACCATCTCAGTGTGGGCGGGAGGTCAAAACGGAGAGAAAACAATGTGTTTTAAAACGAAAACGTATTAGTGTGGACGTAGCCTCAGTCTGTCCTCACTCTAGACACTTGCAGTTGTCACACATGGAAATCAAATGTGTGATAAGCTGCAGGATTCAAACACAAGTGTAACTTATAAATACATGTTCATACTTTTATTACACAATCAGTTGTGTAATCACATAATGGTTGTAAATACAAGACGTCATTGTAATATAATGTAAGACATTTTATGTGGAGGAAGTCTGTAAGTCAGTAGTGAGCTGAAGGGTTGATGCTAATTTTAGACTGCGTGTGTGTGTGTGTGTGTGTGTGAAAATGGCGGCGAAGGGCTTAGAGTATTATTGGCTTCATAAACACTGTTGCAAATATTGTCACATGCTTGTAATTAAGACGCTGGTTTTGCTGATTACAATATTACAAATAAAATTTTGAGTTGTTGCAGTGGATGTATAGTAATTGACTGAGTTTGAGATACACTGAGTGCACTGTACATACCTAAGACCAATATATTACTTTCAATAGTAACCTCTCTTCAGCACTAAATGCTGGTGTGTTTTATTTTTTTTTTTTTTTGGAAAGAATCAGAAGTGAGACAGTTTGAATCGACAGCTCAGTGCAAAGATGCATGAATTAAACCTGATTATAAAAATACATATGCAATGAAGAAGCAGCTTACACTTATATATATGACATAAATTGGTATTTCTGACCGGAGAGAGAGAGAAACGGGTCGGTTAAGCACTGATGATAATAATGACAATGTCTCAGTTTTGGTATCTCTAGGTGCAAGCAGACCTGGACCAATTTTCCACATGCAGCGGTCGGAAGAAAGTTATAGGTTAACATCACTGGAAATGTTCAGGCAAGTTTCTGGCTGAATTGGTGATGGCACCATGTGTCCCTGAATCTCACAAGCAAGCTCTACTCCTGGCTGAAGACAAGGAATGCTGTTATTTAAGGTGGGAAATCAAAATTTGGGTTAGCAACCTTGGGAAAGAAAACTGACTGCTTAAGTGGGAAAATTGTGAAGGAGTCTGAAACACTGCAAAGAAACATATACAAAAACACACACACAACCAGA